CAATTATGTCTCGTTTGCTTTATAAAATAACAAGTCCCATTACATTGCATCGTCCATAATAAAACCCTGACACTATACCTAGTATAAACCCTGTAAACCCCTATAAACATCATCGTTCGTACAAGTTCTTGTTCACGTGACTTACACTACTGACCTTCGTTGAATCCAAGTAACCGAAAGCCTTAATCACCCACCAGCCAAATCTAACACCCTCTTTCGAAAAGGTTACCTATCCTACGTTACGAGATTTTGAATTGTGAAGCGACAGAGTCGCAGTCTTCCGAACCCAACAGTAAGCGCATTTTTTTCAATTGTATTCAATATTTAACATTACTTACTTGCGAAGAGGATTGAATAATACATACTTATGAGCGTTAAAGGGATACTAAAGCCTGTCAGATATCGAATTTCCATTAAGTCTGTATATGTCATTTGATGTCTAAAACCTTGATATTGTGAGCCTAAAAACGAATCATAACGCAAACGACGGTCCATGATCACATGATATTAGCGTGACGATCTTCTTTACAACTAAACAAACTAATTAGATTAAATGGATTAGTAGGGGGTTTCAAAGTTAACAAAAGGTAACGCATTTTGAAATTAAATGAGAGTTTGAAAAATCTTCAAAATTATAAAATTGTAAAATGAAATGAGATAAAAATCATCATTTCAAATTTATCGGAAAATGAAATAAAGTGGATACATCGCTCATTTGAAAAGAAATACCCCCTAGTGGGATAAGTTAAAAGGGGTATTTTATAGGTTAAACAGTTAAATGATTAAATTAGAGTAATTAGATAAACGGGATAAACCGGGTTTATTTAATTAGTTTGCGCATATTGCATTAGATTTGGCTGGTGGGTGATTAAGTCTCTTGGTTACTTGGGTTCAGTGAAGGTCAGTAGGGTAAGTCACATGATCAAGAACTTGATCGAACAACGTTTCTTACGGGTTTACAGGGTTTATACTGGGCATAGTGTTAGCGTATTTTATTAAGGACGATGTGACTTATTTTTAATAAAGCAAATGAGATATGTCTTTTCTCGGGGCAATAATGCCTTTATTTATAATTAAATTTTGATTATGGCTTATTTTATTACATAATCTCGCTCCTCCATTTTCTTTATCTAATTCGACCCTCTCTTTTATCTATCTAAACCCTTATAATTGTAAAATCCATTTTCATCATTGTATCCCCTTTCTTGATATATTCAATAAATCAGATTAGTGCGATTAATTGCCGGGATGTCCATATCAAGCCCTATCCGCTCACACGTGATACCCCGGCAATTTATTCACATCACGTTATTGGGTATAACAATACGTACGTAAAGATAAATAATCTAGCTCTTCGCCCATAATAAAGAATAAGTTTCATGCTCTACACATAAACAGTCCTATAAACAGTATATTGTGTTATATACAAAGTGTTCTAAAACTACTCTACATCACTATAATTAAAATAACAAAACTACTCTACACCATCATAATTAAAATAAGCCCGACCCGTTATAGTGTATTGTAGGGGTCTTGTGAATGTGACCTAGACTCTTGTATTTCGGTTTAGACCCGACGTACTTGGTAACGCCGTGGTTATTGGAATAAGACTTAGATTACCTTACCGGCCAGTTAACGTACCGACGTATCGAATTGGACATGATGTTAATAGAAAAGAAAGGTTAAGTTAGTAAAGTGTTAGCGAAGTAAGAAATACAACTCAACAGAATGCCTCGCCTGGTCGCAATATGCATTAAATCTGCAACGCTATAAGTGTTTGTAAATTTTTATTCCATTTGTTGTGACTTCAGATTATTGCGATATCATTCGAGAGATTTCGAGAAATATAAATAAATAATAATAAATTGCTATTTATAATTATTTTAACTATTCTTTATGCCAATCAATTGCACATTTATTGCAAATTTGTCACAGTATTAAATTTAGAATCAATCTAAGCTGCTTTTAGATTTCATTTTGGGCTACATTTGTGATTCTACTTCAACCTAAGTAGATACTAAATCTGCAATAATTCTATTAAGACATATAACATACAGTATATACACATAGGACATAAATAAAAGATTTTTGCCATCGAAGCTAATTTCACTATATGTATGCTACCTGTAAACTTAAATCTATTATCAACCCAAAAACATTACAAGAACTAAATCAATTCAAGCATAAAACTCGATGCTCACCAAGTTAATAAATTAGTAATAAGTTTATTTATATATCTAGTGCGACAGGTAAACGGCGAGTCTGTCGCTACAACTAACCAGACGTCGCGTAACGTTACGGATTCGGGGTAATAAGGCTTCGGGGCGTGGATTAGATTTGGCGAGTGTTTTATTTATTTCTCTATCTAGTTTCCGTGTTTATTAATAACTTAACTAACTATCACTATCTACTATTAAAGGGACTTTCGATCTCTCTTCCCCTAATTGGGGGCGCCAAAAGATTAGTTTTTATTAAAATTTCTTTTTGCTTTTCTACAATTTCATTAGTACTAACTAATGCTATTTGTTTTAGGTCCTACTCCCATTTTTCTCACCATTCCGTCACTATGCAATCGTGGGTTCCACTTGATCGGGTAACTATTGTATTTTATGTATTTGTATTTTTATTTTTTAATTTAATGCACTAACCCGTCCTCTTACCACCTGGATCCCGCCACTCTGAAACATCGCCATTACGGTCGTAATGCCTTCCCCGATTTGGCATATTCGTTTTGCTGGGAATTTTGGGCGTTGGGGGCACGATTATGCACGTTTCACCGTTGTGGGGTCGATCGTGCATATTTGATCCTGGGTCCCGATCGGCGCTTGTGTGACGTATCGTGACGCACGAGCCGTCACGAATTTTTCGCCTGTAACACTAGTTTGGCAAGTCTTTCAGTTACGAAATAACTATCTACACTATTCTCTGTATAATTCCATTTGTCTTCTAAATAAAGTTCGTCGGTGGTTTGTCTTTTTCTTGTCTCCTTTGTATACCACTTAATAAAGTTATAAATCATATTTGCAGTTATTTTTAATTGGTGAAACATTAGATTTTAAAAAGCGATGTACCCGAGCGGACGAATGTCTTTCTATGAAACTTAATCTAGGCATATAATAATTCATGATCTTATTAGCAAATCCAAAAGACGTTTATGGAACCTTAAACTAATGAGAAAAAATCTTATTCTGACAATGGAAAACCCTTTTCAGCGAAATCTTTTGGGAACGCAGGGTCCTGTACAGAATAAGGGTGTTCTAAGCAAAAGCCAAGAATTCTTATTGTCGTATGCGGAATTCTGCAACTCAGTTACTCCACAATCCGAATTCTTTTGCAGCCAACGATAGGTAACCTTTTCGAAAGAGGGTGTTAGATTTGGCTAGTGGGTGATTAAGGCTTTCGGTTACTTTGGGTCCACGATGGAAAGTCGGGTAAGTCACGTGATTAAGAACTTGAACGAACAGCGATGATTATAGGGGTTTACAGGGTTTGTAACGGTAATAGTGTTAGTGTTTATTATGGGCGATATAAGGTGTTAGGGGCTTATTATTTAATAAAGCAAACAGAGCACTCTTGCTCCTAGGGGCCATTTAGGCCTTTATTTATAATACTAATTTTGTCGCTTACAAATGCGACTTTACACTTATTATTCCTTTAAGACTACTTAATGTTATTTACAATAATTTATGTAATATTTTTAAGGATGTGTAATTTGACTTCAAATCCTCCCCTTATTCCTTTATCTACCCCTCTGGATCCAATATACCATTTCCGATCGCAAATGTAACTTATTACATTTCGTGCATTTTCACGTGATCAGTCACAATATTCCAGTATCACAATATAGAGCATATTTATTTTATAATAATCTATATTTAGACAACCTTTACTTGGCTGCATTCAGATGTGCTGCAATTTAGCTAATATGAGTATTAAATTTAGGAAAAATGGTAGTATTGTTCTTTTTCATGGTAGGCTTTTTTTTTTACAAACTATACATACGATTACGATTTATACACATTCTTTCTAATTGTGTAGATATCATTCGAATGGTTTGTCTGACCACCCTGGAGCACTCATACAAACGTATACCATACGACGTATGTACATACCTGATACGTATGTACGTACGTACACATACATTATGTAAAACGTAACAAAAACATAATACATTTTAGCACAGAAACTGAATCGGGGTATGCGTAACGGACAATAAGATATATGTATGATTTCAAGTATTAAATATTTTAATGTATAACTTGCATATAATAAAACTCTTGAGTTTTATATCATAGGACTTTACCAAAAATAGGTAGATAAAAAAGGATAATTAAAGCACAAATTAAAATATTTATTCCTTTTATTTAAGGAATTTATGTTTTAGTTACTAGCCCTCTTTCTTTTTATTTAGATCATCATTATAAATATTTTTTTGTAACAATAAGTATACATTTTACCTTTTTATACTTTCTTTCGGAAATAGATAGCATATTTTCCCTCATCTTAAACTACGCATGAATTTATTTCTGACCTACTCCGATTGATAATTCTAAAACTTGATCCGATCGAAATTTGATATTAACTAATCAGATTTCAATGATCTATTAGTATTGTTTGAAGACTGTCGTTTGAGCAATGTTGGATGGATATTCATACAAGGTTAGTCCGAAAAAACCAATAAAGTTCCTTCTATGGTTAGTGTAACAAATCATTATGGAAAGTCTTCGTACACACATACGAAATTATGCGTATAAGAAATCTTTGGTATGATGCTTAATAAATCTTTTTTAATGCGGAGTTCAGTATTCTATTGTGCTTAATAATATAATACAGTGCATGCAACATAACCCTTCGGACTTTTATCAGTTGTAAATTTCCTAGTTGTTCACTATTTATTGTATCGGAGTTCATAATCATGGATCCTAATTTAGCGCACGTAATAGTAATTTTATGTCGGCAATTAACCATAATGTACCAATTTTGAATTCACTGGTTGTACCCTAATATGAAGGTTGTCTGCGAACCGCAACCTCGCGGGAAGCCACCCACTTAGGGTGGTTGGCAAGCTGGCAAGGCAAGAGTCTTGCCCATATTTGGCTAGCTAGAAAAAAGCTCGCCTCGCCAGCTTGCCAACTACCCTACAACCACTATACTAATGATCCGCAACTTTATTTAACTCTACTAATTATCTGAATCTAAAAAAATTGACACAAGTATAAAATAAGAAAACTTAGATATTCATTTTCATATGATATTAATTCCAGAATTTGATTTTTACCTTGCTTAGCTCTGAAAGAATATCTGAAGTTGTCAATCTATTTTTTAGATCAGACGACCAACATTTTGTATAAATGGCAATATATTTTTCTGGGGTATCTTCTGTAGGCTCTTCTCTTATATTTTGAAGAAGAATTTCATGTATTAGACTAATTAAGTTATTTTCATAGTTTGAAAAGGGTTCTTTATCACTAAAAATCCTCCACATTACAACTGCTAAACTATAAATGTCTGATTTTTTGTCAGGCTGTTTGTGCGAGTTTTTTAGCAGCCTCGTATCTATATAACAAATTTTATTTTTGTTTCTCAAAAGATCCATAGATGAATGTCCATTTATTACTGTAAATATTTTTGGATTGGTAATAAGAGCTCGTTTATTATTATCGATAAATATATTTCTTGAATGCTGTAATATATATATATATTTATATAAGTGTCATATGCTAAAATTCTTATTAAAACCATCAAAAAAGATTGACTTACTAAATCTCCATGAACTATGTTGTTTTTATGTAAAAATTCCAATCCACTAGTTACATCATTCGCGATATTTAATTTGTCAGTTTGCTCAATTTGTTTTGAATTTTTGGTTAAATATTCGCAAAGATTTTCAGCAGGAAGTTGCAATACAATCATTTCTGTTTGATTTTCTCTGTCTAAAGATGTAAGAAAAAAAGTTATAGTTAGATTTGTCCCGAATATTCATCTTTGTTAAATAGTGTATCTTTCATTGTTTAACATAACTTTGAATAGTGGGTGAGTCATTAATATATATATATTAATACTACTGACAATTGGCTTTTGGTTTAAAAATGTAGTTATGTTAAGCAAATAACCAATGATAATTACCATATGTTATTCCATAAAACTTGATTATGTTCTCATGACTTAATCTATTTAACTGCCAAATTAAAAATAAAAAAAAGGATTAGAATCTTATCACATTTTTTTTTAAAAAAAAAAGTGCAATAATTTTTTACGATGCCGTTTACTTCGCCGACAATCATTTCACCGACAGCTCATTTGACCGACATCACATAAGGTTAGCATTAGCAGTTTATTATTTACTGGTATATGTTTTAGTAAATTGTCACCTGGTGAGATGTCGGTTAAATAAGCTGTCAGTAAAATGATTGTCGGTGAAATAATACGGACCCCATTTTTAATGGCTTTACCTTTAAAATTTCTTCACTATTCTTTAAAAATTAAAGAAAATTTTATTATTATAATATTTATACACAATGAATATATTATATACAGTATATTAAAACTCATACCGTTGAAATATTCTCTTTTGGAAAGAATAAAGCCACTTTTTCTTTAGATTCTTTCAATCTTGCATCTTTAAAAACCCCCAAATCCCATCTTTTCGATAATCTAATCACTAGAAGTACATCAAAAGGAATTAATTCTAATTTATTGTGATCTTTTGCTGTTTTATATTTATAATGTTCTCTGTTCATCATTATTATTACTATTTTATTATTATTATTATCTGACACGTAGTATTTTGGGCAACTTAAGCATATTAAAAACAGGTTTTATTGGAAACTACAAATAAAATTCGAGAATTGGTTGTAAAGAATTTTGACTATACGCAATGTAGAATTGCTTCGTTTATATACTTTTACGAAATGCATTCTTTATGTATGTTTACGTATATTATTAATTATTCCTTTTTCGTCGATCATTATCAAGTTGCACAACCTATGACAAAGTAAAAATTAATTTTTACCTAATTTCTTTATCAAATAAATAAAAAAACAGAACCAATCAAAAAAATGTTTCTATTCTATTTTATAATTTCGGAATTTAGGAACTGAAACAGAAATCCAAATATAAAAAATTTGGTACATTTGTTTTGTGATCATTTGATAAAAACAGTTTATAGTAATTTTTAATTATTATTTTAGGAAAATTTCAAGTAGCTACGAACTCTCCCTTTTTTTTACAAAGCATGAAATAAGTATATGTTGGATTTGGATCGGTGATCGGAATGGCTACTAGCTGCGAAGAAGCCAGCATGTCATTATCTGATCACCGATACACATTTAATTTTGATTATTATCCGCTAACGCGGATAATAACTGTTTTATTCCTAGGTTCTTATTATACTTATATACTATTTTTTAAAATTAAAGTTATTTATTTCATAGAGCTTAGCTTTACTACAATCACAAAACTTCTTTATTTTTAGTTAACAACTTTTCGTAACTTTACTAGTTTAAAAAAATTCGTATAACGTTAAAAAAAGTAAAAAATAAAAAAGACATATAATCAAACAGAAACATAAAACCTTCGGATCAGCACAAATCCGAGATCTGAGCAATAAATGAGAAAAAATAATAGAAGTATAAAAAAGAACCGGGAAATAAATAGTACTTATTCCGATGGTCTTATCAGATAATACCGTTATTGAATGCTACGCACCAATAACTGACTTATCTGGCTTTAAATTTAACGTACCATTTTTGAGGTCCTACGGTGCCCAGAAGCTGTCACATTAAATTTAAAACCAGATAATGAAGTATTTTTACAAATAACTCCCGTTATTGGATGCTTCGCATTCAATAACTATTGTGAACCGCAGGACTGTAACCCTGGGAGTACTTGGCAGGTTATAAGACGAGACCAACTTGATTCTGTGTTTTACATTACCCCTCCTCAGCGTTTCTCCTCTCTATCATAGCAAAAAAATTTAAATAAATATACATAGGGTTACGGCTATTTCGGGAAATTTTTATATAGTCATGGAACCTATCCCTTCGGAGTAATGTAAATCACAAAATATAGTTGGTCTTACCTAGTCGAAATGACGCTGACTGTTTACTGGATATGTAGATCTTTGCCTAAACTTGCTTTCTCTGCATCGGGTCTTTAATGTACACTAAAATTTTTGCCGATCACTTTTGTCACCAATCAGATGCCGGAAAGGAACTACAGTACGTACTGTACACTAAGTACTGTACACTAAAATTTTCATACTGTATAAGCGGCGCATCACTAGTATAATCATTATAAGCTTTATAATCAGTATAAGTGATATATTACGGTAAGATGTATGATGTGTTATAAGTAAATGAAAGCATATAATAAAGGCCTTCGTGATTCAAATAAAATCCGTCTCTTAATAATTACATACTTTCTCTACATTATAATTAAATACATTCCGATCTATTGCTTAAGTGGCATAAGAAGTACGATTGGAGATGTGCCATTTATATGATACCCGATTTTTCTCACGTACAGTACGTATAGTACGTACAGTGCGTATCTAGTATTCGATTGGCTGATAGAAAGGATTGGCAAAAATTTTCGCGTACAGTACGTATAGTACTGTACGTGACACATTTCTAGGCATGTTATGTATGGTGGCGCAGATATCCGAAGGACAAATAAAATTTTAAGATTAATATAACATGACATGATCAGAAAGATTTAAAACAAAGATTCAATTTGTCAAAAATTTACCCAACAAAAAAATTTCTCAAACTATTCACCATCTAACTTAAATATGAATGTTAATATTTGTAGCAATGAGTTTTAAAGAATTTTCAGGAGTTGAATGTGTGCCAGGTTCGCGGCACAGCAAAAATTCTTTAAAGCTCGCTTATGTTAGGGGTTTAGGAATTATAAGGGAGTAGTTTATACTTGTTTTTAAAGTATTACTTATGTTGATTTTTGAGAAATAAGAAATTTCTGACAAAATAAAGGTTTGTTTTGAAATTTCTTGATCATGTTAAGTCTCACCTGATCTTGAAATCTGATTCGTAGTTTAGGAAATTTGCGTCATAAGCCCGGAAAACAAGAGTTTGTGTATGTCACCATCGAACATGGCTGTAAACCATACCCTTTGTTTCACTTCTGTGAAACTCTGTTCCTGGTATATTTTAAAAAGGTATTCGTTTGTTAACATCATTTTGAAAGGAATGTAAATTTAGTATAACGGTAAAAAGTCGGATCTTGTTTCCGATTTATGAAATAAAATAGCATTTGCTAGAAAATAATGCTATTTCAGATGCTACAAAAATCCACTGACTCTGTACTCTACGTGCTTTGTACTCCGTTCTTGGTACAGCTGGAATGTACTGTACGTATATATGTCGCATCTGAAGTAGCGATTTATCTAAAGTAGCCACTTTATATATCTAAAGTAGCACCCTGGCTAAAATTAAAATCTAATGCATGCATGAAGATCTAATTTCAGGGGCTTAATTTTAGCCAGGCGCTACTTCAAATAAGTCGCTACTTCAGATGCGACATATACATGATTGTCGATACTCCAGATTCAAGGGCAAAATTCAGTAAAATATCATGACTGATCATACGATGTACAAATATGGAAATAATAAGAATCGATCATCCGTTCAGATACTGAGAATCGTATTGGTATGTATGAGAATACATAACATTATATTGTTAACTTCTTTAGTATTGTTTCCCAGAATCCACGACTCTCATTAACTTTCTTGTAAACCATACTCTACGCCGTTCCTGATTATGCCTAGTCCAAAAATCAAAAAATGGTAAAGAAATCAAACATCAGTAATAACATAATGTTGCAAACCGCAGATCGCTTTATACTCATAAAATCGCCTGATTGTTGTCCAATTGCATAATCGTAAAGTGCGTTTTTTGGCCAAATGTTCAATGCAAAAATATATTATTGTCATAAAATTTGTTGACCATATCTTGTATAATCGCGAACTGGACAACAATCAAGTGATTATTCAATCTATTGTATAAGTATGCGATGAAAATAAGTGTTTCTAAACATTAAAAAGCCTCTTGAGATTAAGTACTAATCGATTATTTTAGAAATTAGTCAGGGATTATTCACAAAAGATTATTTGAAGCTCTTACATGTAATAAATGTATTTTAATGCACCACAATTGCAATAGATCGCAGTAAAATCCTTAAACACATGTAAGAGTGTCAAGCGATCTTTTGGGAATAAGTTCTTACAAATCTTTAAAATAATCGATCAGAACTCAATCTCAAAAAGTCTTATTTTAATCACAATCACCATCACAATCACCATCACAATTATGGATCAAATCGCAATAAATTTACATCAACATATAAATGCAATAACTTGTTTTAGCCTTTTATGTCTGTTTTTATACTGGTTATTAGGTTTTTGCTTGTCTTAAATTATGATCGCATATCATTGTTAAGTGGCGGTCTGATATAAGTGTTAGTTAATTGATAATGAAGGAGGCATTGTCATATGGGTTCAGTTTATGAAATCAGTAGGGCATAAGGTGAAAACGGTTTTGCAAATGCATGTGATTTGTTAATAGAGGAAAGTTGTTACTGTTCGCCTCATAGAGAGGCTAGTTCTATCGTCCCACCCTTCCTAACCCACTTGCAGCGACTCAGTAATAAGGAATAATGCTTAGCATTTTTTATTTAGTAGGTGAATGTAGTAATAAGTATTGTCGGGATTCACAATTTCAGTAAAGTGCAAGAAAATTTGACAATTAGGCTCCGCAGCTGCAATAACAGTACAAAACCTTTGTTAAATGGATTGTTGGGCTAGTGGCTGCAACATCAGTACAAGGACCCTTTTGTTAAGCTAAACAGAATTCCCGTCATTCCATGAATGATTACGTAGCTAACACTATTTTTAGCTATATAGATTTCTCATTGTCGGTCCTATTTTGCTTGAAAATATAGGAGTTGGTTTCTTGAGGCGCAATTTCATGCATGTTGGGAATGGTTTATAAGCCTGTAATGATAGTAAACAGATTATCATATGTCTTTCAATTATGTTCTTTAATAAAACATCTGTTTGAGTAATAATAATGAGCCTTAAAAATAAGTCTGCATCTATCCTTTACTCTGTAAATCGAATTGCCGACACTTAGATGCCCAATCATCTTCACGTTTTAACCCAAAAATTTGTTTGCGAGTTCCGCAGTTATGTCGGCAATGCAACAAGTACACAAAAGTCCGAAAGATTATTGCTGTTCTCATAAATTCTGGGACAATTGCTAAAAATTTGATCGGCCGAATTTGAGTTTTTGAATTACCCAACATTACGATGATCCGATAACACCGAATTCAAAATTCGGCCGAATTTGACAAGTTTTTGAATTACCCGGCATTACGATGATCCGATAACACCGAATTCAAAATTCGGCCGATCTACTTTTATCAGTTGCCACAGAATTTATGAGAACAGTAGTAATATTAGACATGTTCAGACTTTTGAGGTAGTATAAATAATTTGGAGATAAAATGCAACTCGAAGGCAAATTTGCCTACAAAACGGTGCAAGGGATAATGCCTGCTAGTCAAAAGTGCTGGAAATAAATTTAATTAAAAGAATTGAGGTGGCAGCTAATTAATACAACTGAATGATATACTCCCGTTCGATTAACGAGGTTTGCAAAGTGTTATCGTAACAGCAGAATGAGCGAGAAGCGGCGTCAGCCAGTGGTTAATTATGGTTGGTGGTTTTTCTATTATGAATCCCTCAAAAAGAACATATAAAAGTCAATAACTTGAAAACAATGTTAGAGTAATGATCCTGCTAATCACTCAAGAACAAATTTAATAATACTTTAAATTATTGAAGATTTAAATTGCTAGATTACCAATGAACAATTGATAAAAAGAAATGAGTTTACTAATAACACAAAAACGTTAAATAGATTTATTCATGCTAGGGATGTTAACCTGATAATAATAGTTACAAACAGGTAGTAAACTACATGAACCTGTTTATAAATTTTACATAAGCAGTTTAATAAAATTAGTTAGCTAGAGTTATTAAATTACTTCTGTTAATCAGCAAGCATTTTGCTTGGATAAAAATTAAAGGTTCCTTTTTATATATAATAGTGTTGTGACGAACCAAGTATGACCACTCAAATCAGTTATGTACGAAATTTAAGTACTGTACATATAATTAATAAACACCTTCATAATAAAATCATCTGAAAAGTTCATCTAATGTTGAGTAGAAATTATATTTTTTTCATAAATGATCTGCGTGGTTATGCTTAAGGATTTATAGTGTTTCGAGTAAAATATAGATGCAGAGAAGACATAAGGTAATGCAAATTGACAGTCATCATGTCAAAACGTAGGTCAAGTATCTGACATTTGTCGTAATTTAGTTACAGAATCATGGAAGTTACATACGAGTTTAAAGAAATATAGAACGTTACGCAATAAAAAAGGTTATATTTAGCTTAATTATTGATTGATCAAAGAATTTATCTTAACTTATGTACAAAAACAACGATATTAACCACATAGTATGCTTATTACAGTTTACAAGGTAGACTAAACTTATATATGTATTATAGTTTAGAATACAATTCATCATATAACGTCGAGAATAATAGTATAGATTTTGTACAGCATGTCAAATATTACGACGAAATAGTAAATAATTTTATGGGGATGAGTGAAAAATATTATTGCCTTTGACATTAGGATCAGTTAGTCTGCATCTGCATCTGCATCTGCATCAGCATCAGATTAGAATAATAACCCTAATGAAACTCAATATTTAAAATTTAAAACATAAATTATGTAGTATTTACAAGCTAGTCATTTAAAGTTTTATAATCTATCAACATACGTGATAAACAAACTAATCTGGATTAAACGATATCGGTTTGAGTCCCGAACGATCAATAATTTTATCCTAACTAGTTAACATCCCAAATTCCTGTTATAGTTTTATTATCTACGAAACTCAAAACAACTATTCTCTAACAAACTATTTATCAATACGGAGAAAACAACCCATCTCTAATAAATTATTTATTAATACGAGGTTATGACATCGCCCCCATTTTGTTACCGATGCATTTCATTTGATACGAACTTATTATCATCATACGATAGTTGTAAATACCAAAATGGTCAAATTGTTAATGTTTAGAATATCACATACAAAAAATTCTAATGGCTTGAAACACCATTTTCGTTCATTTCATAGAACAGATCAATAAATTTTAAAGTTCATAGCAAAAAAATGACAATCTTGAAAAAAGACTATATCAGAAGAAGAGTGAAACGATGTGTATACAAAAATGCAGTGAAAAAAAAGAGTGTGGATAGATTCGAGTTCGATGTTCGTGCAAAAAATTTAATTTGATTAGATGTTATTTATTATCATAGCGATTATCGCAATAAAGGCGCAATGATCTATAATCTTCATATTCTACATGAATTAATTGTAAAACATTATAATAGCGATAAGGTAAGGATGTGCCGTAAAAGTACAGAATTGAGAATTGACATGAACTTAGGTAATTCAAAAAAGGCCAAATTTTGGAATTTTTCACACTGAAATTGTTAGCTATGACATTAGCACTCTAATTGTAGCACAGGTTCTAATTTGTTAAAACACTAAAATTTTTCCTTTTTTCTTTCTTAATGTTTGATGATCAGTAATCAAATTGCGAAACACGATTATCACGGATTATCCCGCCGAAACAAAACAAAATGGAATAAAAGGAAAAATATAATAAAAGCGTCGGGAAGGTAGTTTTGTGTGTTAATCCTAGAGAATAAAAACCGGTAAGTAAATGAGTTTCAGCGCACCCGCAAACTATGAAAATAACCAAGATCAGGTGATGTCTTGTGGGTATAGATGGTGAAAATGGAAATTTTAATAATGAAAATGATTAGTAATCATTGTTATGATTTTCCATTTTTGAATTCTATCACCATCTATACTCTCGTGGATCGTGAAAACACATATTTACCCACGTTATTTTATGAAGTGTTATTATCCTTTATGAAAATATAGTAATTTTTTAATTAGCAACGATTCTCTTCCTACTAAATTGTCAGTTCATCATGGAAAATTAACTCCACGAAACTATTAAACTCATAAAAAATTGATTTTTAGAACCGATAATTTTTTTATTATCGATAGTTTTTTTCGTCAGACCCATAGGATAAATCCGGTTGATTGATGTAAATTATCGGATAACCCTTTCAAAAAGAATAGAAACCAGGCAAATATAATAATGAAATAAAAAATTAAGCTCACATATACTAATTTAATTTCATTAACCAGATTTCAATGATTTCTAAAGAAAAATTACCTTTGTTAGTTTGTCATATATCTTTATTATAAAAGTTTATGTTTTTCATGAGCACTCATACTTAATATAAACTTCTCTAACTCTAAACTAATCCTAATATTAGTTAATCCAAAACTTGGTATCGTATATGTATCCATAATATTAATTAATCCAAAAGTTGGTATCCATGATATGAGTACACCAGAAGTAAATATACTAGGCCCAATAAGTGATAATGGACCTTATTTTGTCAAGTTCATACTAACTTTAATCATATCAAACTCGAACTTAACTGAGCCTGATTTTATTTAATTTTTAATATGAAATATTTCGGAAATTTAATAACGCCGAAATATTTTTGCAAAATACTTTTGTTTTTACGCCATATATATCTTGGCATAATACAAATCATCGTAAACACAAACTAATATCAGATTATAATTTATGATTATTTATTGCTTTATTAGTTAAATGAGAAATGATCAATAAACAATGCATAATATGGGGCCTTTGCAGCAAACTTAAAAACAAATATATGATTTTAAGATAATCTAGTTCATTCTGTTCGGGTTTACCCGAAAATTTGGTGCTTTAATTGGTCAATAATATCGGTAGCCTTGAGATGTATGAGTCTTTACAAATATTTATGCATTTATAATTGAAAAATGTAGCTGTCCCGAAATTTATTCTAATATTACACTGATTTTTGGCAGGGAACAGTTAACCCAGTGATCGACGATAAAATGATAAAAACATATCACGACGTCATTTGTTTACCAGAATTAAATAGTTGGCCTAAACTATAATTCTAAACTAACCATAATCTAGGCCGGACGATTGTCATGTGATATTGTGATAATCATTGTGCACTAGTTAACTCTTCTTCAATCTACCTATATAAAACAATAGTTTAGTAAAATTTTAAATTCAGAAAATGCGACTAGCTATTTTAATATACCATACTGAAAAATTATATCATTGCACCAACTGTAGATAAAATTTGCATTCCACGAAAAAATTACAACATAAAATTTTGCTACTTAAACTAGGTACTTGAGATGCTTAAAGGGAGTTAAAAATAAGTATTAGATATTTATTGTACTGCTATATAATGTGATTTTAAAATATTTAAAGTACTTTACAATTTAAACTGTATAAACAAGTATTATAGTTAGAGAGATACTATAGCAACATAAAAGATATAAAACGATTTAAATTTGACAATTCAATTACTAATTTAATAAGTTTATATAATTATCAAAAAAAAATCATATTATAATATATAAGTGGCAGTAAGAAAAATAGTTTACATTTCAAGTTTCATTTATTTTTGATAAAATCAGACTATAATACTTTAGTTATAATATATTTTTACCTTTAAAAATTATAAGAGGTATTATAATAAAGTTTTTCAAACTATGTTATAAAAAGATATAAGCTGTAAAAAATAAATATTATATTAAAATTAGAAGTATAAATGTAGTGTTATAATTTAATAAAATTGTAATAATTTATAATATTAGGTTATACTTCTAGTTAAAGGTAAATAATTTAAATATTAATTAAAATATTTTACTATAGTTTAATTGAGTTATAAAAGATTTAATTCAAACAATTAAATAGATTAAATTCATAGTATATATTATCTTATCGTCTTGATACAGTTTTGCAGTTAATAAAATTTTTTTAAAGTTCATTATAGTTAGAGTTAATATTTAGATTAAGGTTAAAGGTTAAAAGTTAAATAATTTTATTAAATAATTAAAGATGGCTTGCTATATAGATTTTGAGAAATAAGTAATTTTTAACAAAATGAATATTTGGTTTAAAAGTTTCTAATCATGTTATACGTATTATACTATAATTCTAAAATTTTATTTGCAAATTAGGAACCTGTGTCATAATGATTAACAAAATTTAATAAAAAATTTATACATACTATTGTAAATAATAAAGATTTTCTATTTATTAAAAAATTATGCTTTAATATACAGAAATTTTTATAATTTATAATAAGATCAGTGCACAGTATATTACTTTTTATTTTATTGGATTTTTAGAGTTACAAATTTTTTTATATTATTCAGATATTTTAATTATACAACTTAAAAACTTTATTATAATGTTAGAATGTTAACTAGACAAAGACCTTTTGATAATAAGTTATTTAATAAAAGTCTTGTAGCAATATTATTTGCAAGTAATAAAATATTAGTTTTTATATTAAATTTGTTAAACAATATATAAGTTTTAATTTACAGATTTGCAATAAACTTTAAGATTAAATTAAAAAATTAGAAAAAATCAGTTTTTAAACACTAATAAAATAACAGAAAAATTACTGATTAATTTATCAAAACATTCAAACTTTATTTATATAAATAAAATAATTAATAAAAAAATATCAAGTGCAATTATAGATATTATGCTAAATAATTTTTTAAATAGAATGTTTAAAATTTTAAATAGTTATATTTTGACATATATGTCACATATTACATCAAAATTCTATTATTGTAAAAAGTTAATGTGTTTAAAGTTTGAAATTATATATATAAATACAGTCAACTCTCTCTATAATTACGTAGTTAGGATAATAGTAACTTTTTTTTAGAAATGTGTTTAAAGTTATTAATTAGATTTTTAATAAAAAGGTATAGTCATTTAAAAAATTAAACTATTTTATATAATTATTAAATATAAACTACTAATATTATATATAATATTACTTAAATTAATTTTGAACTTGTTTTTAGTAAGCAGACTTATTAAATCTATTGATGTTTAAAGACATATTATTATATTAGTAATGTAATTATTAAAAATATAAAAAAGCAAATTATTCTAAAAAATTTATATTTAATCAGACATTTTTTTATTTTTACTTTTCTTTACTGTCTTGAAGGTTCTTAGTACTATTAGAATTTATCATATTTCTTTAAGTTCAGAGTTAAGATTATCATATAGCATATGCTTCTTATATGCTACCAAACTCATAAAATAACTTATACTTGATCAAGTCTGTTATATAACATCACAGGTCTCTAGTTTTGTGATATAAAACCTACTATCCTTTTTAGTTTACAGTTTTTTAACTTTATATTAGTTACTAGCTGAATTGTTTATATATTTCAATGATCTTAATATTAACATTATTTGTTAATAGATTAACTTAACTAGTTGTTTTTGACCCTGTGACTATGCCAATAACTGCATTCTTTTTGTATAAATTTGTTCTTGTTTGTTTAAATAAAAATTCTCTGTTAATCTTTTTTTCAGTTATAATTTTGATAGAATTGTTAACACCTTTTGAACTTGAACTCATGATCTTGTGATTGAGACATAAAAGCACTAACCAATGTACTATCAACCTACAGATCAACCAGACATTTTCAATAAAACTAAATATATCAACTCTAAATCTCAATTAATATATTTATAGACAAAAAGTAATTTTGTGATATTTCTTAATTCTATTAATTAATTTGTATATAAAAATGGATCAACTTTATTTTTTATAGATTAATTAATTTGCCAACAATAAAAAATAGATTAATATGTAGTTCACAGAAATATAAAAATGAGCATGCACAGGATTTTTATAGCTCGCACAGGATTTTAATATAATCCAAAAATAAGATTTTCTGATTGGATTACCATAACATCTGGCTAGCATTAATATAATATCTAATCAGATTAACATATTCAGCTATTCCTAATTAGAATTTTTTTATTTATTTGCATATTATTTCACACCTATGTATATATATACCTTCTTTGCCATTAGTATTATTTGCTTATGTACCAAAAATTTTTCTTCAAGTCAATCTTTTTAAAAATAAATTAACATGCATAGTAATAATGATATTTGGAATCATTTTACAAAATTTGGACCAGATAAATGCTTTAGCCAAGAAAGTGGTCAATGTAATTACTGTAATTAAACCTTGCAAACAACATGTGGAAATTCACTATTTTGATTGGCTAACAGCAACGATCAAAAATTTAGGCAAAATTCCTCAATTTTTACTATGAAATCGTGGCCACCATTAAGTGAAATTGGGGTTTGGAAAATTACCATAAGTTTGTGAAAGTTTCTGAAATCAAAATTACATGTAATTTGTAAGAAACGGGATCATTCTATCATATGATTCAATACGATGCTTTGATAATATGCGAATCGATTTGATTAATAAACTTCATGTAAAATCTATTGAAGTTCAGTAACTATAGCTAAATTTTTCATAGTGCTGGCACCATATATCACACATGTGAAATTTACATGTTATTGAAATTATGCGAAATTACATGTATTGTAAGTTTGTAAAATGAAAATTATTTATAATGCGGACTAGAAGTTTGTTGATCACTGCCATTGGTCAATCAAAATCGTGGATCAATCGTGCATTTTTTGTAGTGTGAGCCGTGAAACGTGATCCCGGAAGCACGTGAAAGGAGGTGATCGAGGTGGCGCAGTAATAACTAACGGCTATGTCGATCAACTACCTAATTTGGGCATCCCGGGATTATCACTCTTAAAATTCGTATAGAATCTTTAGCAATTATAAGGGTAATAGTGGTAATAAGGGATATATTATATTTAGGGGCTTTAGGTAATACAGGGCATTAAAAATGTATACGTTAAATAATAAGTTTAGTATGTTTAATAGCTGTAGGAGCGCATATGTAATATAACAGTATATAATAAAGGCTTCGAGCCCTACCTGAGCAGTAGTTTTCGTGCTTGCAACACATTTTTGTTCCAAATACTTTCCTGCTTTCGTGACAATATATTATAAAACCTACGATCATAAACACACCACACTCCAAATCTAACCGCCTCTTATCGACTAAGCCGTTCGTAGGTTACACGACGTATTCATCTGTCAAGCGACTGGCTCGCCGTTTCGCCCGTGTCAGTAGTTTAATGAATCCGGCACAGGATTTTTTGGAGAAACTGCAGCTCTACAGAAATAGGATTGATCCCCCAAAAATAGGTATGTTTGACTTATTTAAATTGAACTCGAACCTTCCATTATAAGTTTATCCTATTCAAATTAACTAGTAATACCATTTTGTTCAAAGCTGTATAAAATATATTTTAAATATTTATCTATTATCTATTATTTAATGACAGGTCTAAATCTAGTTCTTAATTAAAATTTAGATAAAATTTTTTTGTAAATTGATAAACTTAAATTGCTGACACAGTAATATTAAAAATTAGAAATTTATAACTATTGTTACTTCGGAATTTTAAATTATTAACATATCATGTCTAAACCTAAATTTTTTTATTTTATAAAATTTGGTAAACGAAAATCTTACATGTAATATATGGTCCGGTGCAAAAAGATTTGTACATCAAATAAAAATTAATAATAAA